AGATTGAAGATTATGAAGCTTCCAAGCCTCAGTTATCGACGTCTGCGTGGGGACCTCATTGAAGTATACAAGTATACTCATGGTCTATACAAGGTCCCTGAAGGGTTACTAGAATTTGAAACAAGAACCAACACCAAGGTTCACGGATATAAGCTAAAAAACTGCGCTGCAACTTCTCCATGCAACAAAATTTCTTCTCGCTTCGAATCCCCGACATGTGGAACAGCCTCCCCGATGACATCGTTGGCGCTCCAAGTATGAACGCGTTCCAGAACAGACTAGATAAAGCTATGGAAAAATATATGTTCATATTTGAAATGCCTAGCTCCTTATCGAACCCGGTGGAAGTCTAGTAGCTACTTCAAACTGTCGTCAGTCATGAAAAGATCCGGTCAAATGACACGATTTTAGATCTTCTATGAACAAGGCACGAAAAGGAAAAGAATCGGCGACAGGCCACATCAGGCCTACACTTCAGCGCCGACATCACTATGCTACTACTATGTATAGGTTTAACGCTCAATGAGAGTTGTCTCTCTGTATGAAGTTCTGCATTTACACAGCGAAAATTTTTTGGCAACATTTGTGGGTTAATCGTTGACTCCTCAGCTGTAAGCCACTTCGATTAATCAATTAACGTCAAAAACGTTTAACAAATGTGAGAAAAAAACGATGCCTGAGATTTTTTCATCTGCTCGCAGGCCGTTTTTTAGCGCATTTTATCATTTATGGAAAAAAGGCGCTATTGTGCTTGTTATATCCGTCCGTCCATCCATGACGGACAGATGAACGCGAGAATTTGCGCTCTCTGTCACTCACTGCAGTAAGTATTGATCTAATTTTTTCTACATTTTTGGACATTTTTTGACGTTATACTAAGCTGTGCCTTTTTTTATCTTAAGCCGCGTTCATGTACGCTGTTCAGGCTCTGAATCCTTAAAAATTTGCTGCTGTTATGCTAAGCTGTGCTTCTCCTGTCTTGAGACATGTGCATGTTATGCCGCATAAGTTGTAAATAATGAAACATTTCTTGCCGTTATGCTAAGCTGTGCCTCGTCTCTTGTCTTGCGCTGCGTGCATGTTTTACCTCAAAAGCTAAGGCCCAGTTCGTACTTTCGTGATCAAACCGCGCGCCATTCA